TTAATATGCCCTGTCTTAATTTAAGTAAAGTAAAGTAAGGTAAAGTAAAGTAAAGTAAAGTAAAGTAAAGTAAAGTAAAGTAAAGTAAAGTAAAGTAAAGTAAGGTAAGGTAAGGTAAGGTAAGGTAAGGTAAAGTAAAGTAAAGTAAAGTAAAGTAAAGTAAAGTAAAGTAAAGTAAAGTAAGGTAAGGTAAGGTAAGGTAAGGTAAGGTAAAGTAAAGTAAAGTAAAGTAAAGTAAAGTAAAGTAAAGTAAAGTAAAGTAAAGTAAGGTAAGGTAAGGTAAGGTAAGGTAAGGTAAAGTAAAGTAAAGTAAAGTAAAGTAAAACTATATTTCTCTTTTTTCTTCTCATCGTGTTTATCTGTTCACAGTTCAGTGTTGGGTCATGCAGTCCTCTGGAGCCTGGTGTTGTTGTGTCTCACTGATAAGCTTGTTTAAATCAGCATTCTGACAATCTGAGGTTGGACAGATTACTGCTTGGATCTGCAGCATGAAAATGTGTTTTCCTGTTATGACCTCATAAACTCAGTCATAGCTGAACTGTTTATTTTATTTTATTTTATTTTATGAAACTTTTGACCTATATAATGTCTGCTTTTCCAGCTCATTCACTTTCCTTGGACACCTAATCAGCCACTGTTTGTCAGTAAACGTTTACATATTTCTTTTAGCATTTTGAAAAAAAAAAGCAATTGTTATTTTTCTAAAGCCTGTACAGTAATTTATGCAGTAATTGTCAGATGATTTAAGAGTGAAAATCTGTATTTATAAATTGTTTTTATTCATTTGTTCTAGAGCTTCTCTTTAAGAAACACCTGCATGTCAGGGATCTTTAGAAACAGCCTGTGTTCTGATAACAAGTCTTGAACTGATAACAAGCTGGACTGAGCCTCATCAGGTGCACTTTCTGCAGCTTTTCAGTTATGTCTCTCCATCCTGATGGGTTTTGTGTCGTGCATCTGAGAGGATAAACACATTTTTGTTCAAAACAATTTTTATTACAGACAAGTAGAAAAATAGAAATGGTTAACTACAGAGGAAACCTTCACTCACCAGGCCAAGGTAGTATCTGCTTATCATCAGCCAAAGAACCGTGACCTCAACTGACCCTTTGGTTGACTCCAGGGTCCCAGCCCCCCTTTGCACACCAATCACATCAAATCCAGCTGTTCAACATCAGGCCCTCTCCTGCACCTGCAACAAACAAGAAATACCGTCGGATTAAAACTCTTGTTATTAAATAAACAACTTGATAATCTGGCCACATTAAATAATGTCCAAATTCCAAAGTAAACTATTTATCAAATAGTTAAACTGTACCTAAATTGTTGAACATTTGAAACTAAATATATTCTGTCTAAATGTATTTTTGTTGTAGATAAATGAGAATTAATCCTTGAATAATATTTGTTCTTATTGATACACCATCAATTACTTAACAAAATACTTCTTCAAACTAGTTTATCACCAAGTAATTTTTAATTATTATTTGTGTTGTTGATTTATTGTTGTTCATTCAGCTATTTTGTAATACAAATTTGTTTCCTCCTCATTTTGGCAAATTAAATATTCATTTGTTCTGGTTAGTCCCTCCAGCGTGTCCTGGGTCTTCCTCTGGGTCTCCTCCCAGTGGGACGTGCCCATAACACCTCACCAGGGAGGCGTCCAGGAGGCATCCTTACCAGATGAGCCACCTCAATTGGCTCCTCTCGACGTGGAGGAGCAGCGGCTCTACTCTGAGTCTCTCCTGGATGACCGAGCTTCTCACCCTATCTCTAAGGGAGAGCCCAGACACCCTGCAGAGGAAACTCATTTCGGCCGCTCGTACCTGTGATCTCATTCTTTCAGTCACTACCCAAGGCTCGTGACCATAGATGAGGGTAGGAACGTAGACCGACCGGTAAACCGAGAGCTTCGCCTTCTGGCTCAGCTTCACCACGACAGACCGGTACAACGCCCGCATCGCTGCAGATGCAGCACCAATCCACCTGTCGATCTCCCGCTCCACTCTTCCCTCATTCTTGAACAAGACCCAGAGTTACTTAAACTCCTCCACTTGGGGCAAAACCTCCTCCCCGACCCGAAACAATTTCAAGCAATTATAACGTTCAAGTAACAAAACAAACCAAAAACTTCAACCCCTTCACAAACAACAGCTCTTATGAATACACATTATACAATTTTATATTTCTTTAATAAACTAACTTTTATCATTTTCTTAAACAAATACTTTGAACCAGCACTTTTATAATCACTTTGCAAATTATTCCACAATCTTATTCATTGAACTGAAGTACAACAGTCCTTTAAAACAAAGTACTCATTTACTTTTACTCAAGTAATGTTAATGTTGGCATTGTTACTTTTACTAGAGTAAATTTGTCTGTTTATCTGTACTTTTATTAAGTCCAGTGTTTGAGTACTTTCTCCACTGGTTCTGCCTGTAGACATATTTAAATCCACTGTGTTTATCGGTCTGCCCCAGTTTAGCTCTCTGTGGAGCTGCAGGCTGGTGCAGACATGACTGTTACCTCAGTCTGTTGTAGAGAAGCTCAGTTTTGCAACTCATTTAAAAATAATATGATTAGATAGATAAGCCTTACTCTGTGCTACCAGAAAGGTTTGGTCTACTTCCTGATTTCTCAGGAAACTGGTCTGTTTGCTGTAAGTCACGTGAACATGTGGTTATTTTGTAAAGTGACCTGTGATAGTGTTAGTGTTCAAACACATTTTCATTTCACGGTTCTGTCGAGTCATCACGTCAAAAACACTGAAGAGGTAAGAACTCAAAAATGCACGAACAGCAGTGGCTGTGTGTTTTGTTTTATAGGTATAAAATGATTGTGATTGTGTTTGCAGATTGCAACTGCTGTTAAATTGTTTTTGGACAGTTTCAAAAATTTGTAAATTTGATCATTGGTGGCAACATTTCCTGATATTAAAAAAAACATTTAGTTGTTTATCTCTCAGGACTCACAGTGATTTTTCTCTGAATGTCTGTGTTTGAGGGTTTTTTTTCTTACCTGTCTCTGTAAAACAACAGGTTAACACTACTGTGTTTTCAGCCTTTGTGTCTGTCTGTTACCAAAATAACTCATGAAACGCTGGTCTGATTTTGTTCAAACTTTCAAAATAATAATAATTAATCATTAAGGCCCTGTCACACTACCCACCTTGCCTACTTCTGGTGGTCAGAGGGTCCGGTGGCGCCTGTGCATGGCAGCCTCGCCTCTGTCAGTGTGCCCCAGGACAGCTGTGGCTACAATTGTAGTTTGCCATCATCAGTGTGTGAATGTGTGTGTGAATGGGTGAATGTCTGTGTGAAGCGCTTTGAGTGTCCTGGATGGATGGGCGCTATATAAGTACAGTCCATTTACATTTCGTTAGAATTACATCCTGTACACACCAAAAAGAAGCTTCCAGTTGATTTTTTCAATTTCATCTTCAAAGACATCTTTAAAATGTTCATAAGCTGTCTAACGTGACAGGGCCTTCAGAAACATTTACAACAGATTAACTTTTGAGGTAATCCGAATTCAAGATGGCAGCCACAGCCATTTTACTTAGTGAACTCAAAAACATTAATAACTCTTATTTTATAGGTTTCAGGGTACGTTTGATATGGTTTTAGCTGAGGGGGATTTACGGCAATTTTCAAGATTTAGTTTCAAACCTTTCATTAGTCATCTCTGTCTGCCTGCTAGCAAAACATCTCAAAATCTACGAGACAAATTTGAGCGCTTTCAGAAAGTCGTCATTAACTGTACATCTACACCTGATTGGTTTTAGTCAATCCAATGAGGCTGCACAGCTATTCAGTTTTAACCAGCACAAACACAGCTATATTGGTTATATTGTACAAATATTGACCTAAAGTTGGATGTGGTAATAGCTGAGAGTCATTCAAAACACATACTCTGTGCGCAAATTCTCACAACATTGCATCAATTTTAAGTTTGACCATATTTTTCATCTCTATATAAAGTATTTCAGTTTATTTTTGTCTAAAACTTTGCCATAAGAGGCCACAGGTGATATATATTCTTTCAAAAAAAATGCTAGACCTTCAATTCCTCACGTCGTCTGCCATTCTAACATGTTTTAGGAACTGACGGAGCTGTTTTGCAGATAAATATGAACCCAGACATAAAGTACACCCATAACTGCAGCTTCTCTGTTTGGGCCTGTAAGAGTTAAATACTTGAAGAGCCACATCAGCTATGTTTCAGACAAACACATGTGCTCTCACAGGAGCCAGTGGACGTGTGTGCAACTAATTAAAAAACTGCAAGAAGCTCTCGACCGCAAGAACAGTGGGAACATGTCAGTGTACTGTCGACAGGCATCTGACATGAAGAAACATGGAGTTTAAACATGATTGATTTGTCATTCATTATATATTTAAAAAAAACTGTAAATAAAGTTGACTGTAGCTCCATGACTGAAAGGCAGAAGTTCGAAGGGATTTTAACATCTGAGCTCCTGGGTGGACATAGAGATGCCCTTCACTTTAGAGTTTCAGTTATTTTACTTTCCTTTGGCACAAAAACATCTGCTTCACTGTTCTTTACATTAAGCTCAGACGGGTCTGTTTAGGTTGGGCAGAAACTCAGAGAAAGAACAGCTCAAAATGTGCTCATTTCATGAAACAAGCATGAAATGTGAAAATTAAAACTTAATATTAATATAATCAAAGTTAAATGTACTAACTTGAATCAAGATATCAGTTCTTATTGTTTGCGGTCTTTGTGACCCGACAGACCTGAGTTTACAACAAAAGCTCTGATCTCTGGTTAAATGACAGCCGGACCAACAATAAAGCTGTTTCAGTACCATGACTTCTTAAAAATGAGAGTATAAATTAAATTTAGAATTTGTTCAAAATACATCTCCGTTACAGCGATATGACCAGTTTGTTGTACGTATGGTGCATTATAAAAGTGTTGTCCCCTTTGGCTTTCTCTCTATTGTGTTGCTTCACAAATTAATATTTAAAAAGAAATTTAGGTGGATGTATTTTTTTAATTCCCACAACAAAACAATCCCTTTGAGGATGAAAAATATATTTTTTACATTGGACCAAAAAAATATTAATAATAATCTGAAAACCTGAGCAAGTAGGCTCCTCAAGTTTATGATCCTGGTCCATCAAACCAGGAAGGTTTTCACTCGTTCCTCATGACCAGTCTGCAGCTCCTTCAAGGTTGGAGAGGTGCTGCTTGTGTCTAACAACGGTTTCAGTTGGACTGAAGTCTTGGTTTTGACTGGACCATTCCAGGACGTTTAACTGGTTCTTAAACCAGCGGAGTGTTTAAGGTCAATATTCTGCTGAATAGTGAACGTCCATCCCAGTCTCAAATGTCTGAAATACTTCAGGTTTCCCTTAAGAATGTCTCAGTGTTTGCTCCATCCATCTTACCTTCACCTCTGATCTGTTTCTCAATATAAAAAACATCCCCACAGCATCATGCTGCCACCACTGTGCCTCGCTGTGTTGTGTTTTTATCATGAAGAGATCAAATGTTTGCTCCAGACATCACATCTGAAAGTTCAATCACCTAAAACTACAAGTTTGGTCTCATCTGACCACAGCACCTTCTGCCCCGTGTTTGGGAAGTCTCCGATTTACCTGTTGGCAAAATTTAAATGTTCTATTTTTATTTTATTTAAATTTTTTTAATCAGTGTCTTTTTTCCACTTTTCCATGGAGCCCAGCTCCGTCAGAGTTATTGTAAGTCTCTTGGTTGCTTCTCAAATTAATGCACTGAGTCAATGAGTTTTAGTGGAGAGCCCTCTTAAGTTTGCAGTGGTGGCATTTTTCTTTTTCTTTTTTTTCTAATAATGGATCTGGATTAAATGTTTGTTTAAAAAATATCAAGAACTCAAAGCTCAGGGTTTTGGAAACTTTAATAACACAATCCTGATTCATGAATATTTTCTCTTGAGTTTCTTGGTCTTCATGTTGTCTTTTATTAGAGGTGTTACTTCTGTGCAAGGGGCTTTCAGAACAGATCGACGATATATAATTTGTATGTAATCTGTATATAATCTGGAAATYTTATTTGCCATTAACTATCTTACATTGTAAGTCTACTAATACATATACAGTTCATTCCTAACATTCTGTATAATCTGCATAATCTGTATATGTGCACATAGCTCCCATATTTTTTTTATTTATATTATATTATTTTTATACTGAACATTTTATTTTTATAACAACCTTTGCACACCTGTAAATACATATTTATACCCTGTAAAGCACTTCTGGATAGATGCAAACTACATTTCGTTGCTTGTACTTGTGACGGTGCAATGACAATAAAGTTGAATTCTATTCTATTCTATTCTATATACTGAGATCATTTGACTCTCACATTGTAGGTAGATCATATTTAATTATGGAGGTTTTGTAGGAAATGAATAAATACGCAAAAAAATTAATAAAACTTACAAAGAAAAATATAGTAATTGTGTGAAAAGGACTCAAACATAGTTCAAAAATAAATTTGAATTGTGTGACTCTTCCTGCAAGTGATACATCAGGAGATTCTGCCCCGATCTATGTTAGTAAAGAAAAGCAGTTGGTGGACTGATGACGTTTGAATCCAGTGTTTGCAGATCTTTTCACTAAAAAGAAACAGCAGATTTTTTTGTAACAAGAAACAGAAGGTGTTCAGTTTCTCAGAGAGCTGAAGCTTCCCTCAGCTTCAACAGAGCAGACTCTAAACTCTGATCGACATGAGACTTAAACAGCAAAATGTAACAAAATACGAAAAAAAATTATTTTAAGAAAAGTTCATTTACAAGCTTTTAAGTAAATAAGATAAAGGAAGTACTAAATAGTTGTGGTTAAGTGTCAAACTGGTCACACACAAGAAGAAGTTCGAACTCATGAACAGAAATTCACAGTTTTAGTCTTCGTCAGTGCTTTTTTAAAGACAGTTCCCCCTCTTCATACTGCATGTACTCTCTAGTATAGATTCTTTTCTGGGTTTAAAGTCTATTGTTATCTCTAACCACACACAGCAAGGATCTCACACAGCTGGCAGAATCAAAAAGCTCATTCCTCTGTTTGCTATTTGAGCCAATCCACATGAAACATGTCTTTTTGGCTGCGAAGCTGCATGGCAAGATGCTCCCTTCACATGAAAAACCCAGACGCAGAAGTAAAATTTGGTGAGAGGAAAGATCTTTGATCTCACAGAAACTTTTACCAGAAGACAGTCAATAAACATAGGTGCAAGATCAAGGTGGGTTTTAAGTGAATCTGTTAAACATGATGGGATGTTAAAGCTATGTTGTCAGTCATCATAAAGCTTCAGACATTGATTAGGCCTGAGGTGCATGGTTAAACATAAACTTTGCATACTGTTGTCGGTTTGAAAAACTCATTTAGTAAAGATTAGAACTGCAGGTGCACCGATAAATCTGCCGATTTCCTTAAGTTTGGGAGATGCTTCTCATCTACGTCCTGATGCATCTCAGTAATCCAGGTAAAAAAATCAAAAAGAAAAAAATTGTATAGGTCCTCTGGACGGGGAACATCGGGGAAACAAAGCAGCCACTGTTCAAAAGAATGTCCCAACACAGACGAGCTACGTCTAATGGCCAGAACTCTGC